CTGCTGAAGTCGGCCTCCTCCTCTCTGGAGCTCTGACACCTCCAGAGAGTCAGCCCAGCCTCCGTCCATCCTCTGTCCGACCACAGGCTCTCCTGCTCGCACTCTGAAGTTGACCGTTCAGCTCTTCTTGGCTGTGAAGTTATCACTGTTTTCACTGGTTAAGCAAATGAAACGAACATTAGAATGGTTTATTTTAAAGTAAGTTCAGCTTTGGATTAAAACAATATATTGTCATTGTATAAAATAACGTTGTTTTACTTTTATTTTCATTGTTAAATGATTCATTTATGAAAGTCTGCATTCTTGGCCATGCCGTTCTTTTACTTTAAAGAGCGGGTTTTCTCAAGTTTTACACAAAAACCAGACTTTGCTTATTTATTGCACGCTGGTGAAGGCGATACTGTTTTTGCTTACGTGTGCTTGCTCGTTTTATGTTTTATGTTCTGCGTACGTCAGCAGAATGCAGTTTTTCCTCACGTGCTCTCGAGCAAGACAAAAGCTTTTCCTTCCCTCTCCTGCCTTCCTCCTGCTTTTTTGCCGTCTGTCCTGTGTATCGGAGCGTCTATCTACACATCGTCCGAATCGTAAATTACTGTCATGGATTTGGTCAGCTGGACTTTCAACGCAGTGATTTTTTTTTTTTTTCAACCAAGCGACAGGGTCCTGGAGAACCCTCGTGCCCCACTGAGACGCACACGGCAGGGTACGTCATGGACGTGTTGTGCCTTTCTGTGCTGTCTCAGGAGGACGCCGAAGATCATTAGATTTATGATGGCAGGGTTTCTGCTTTTTGGCACCGTTGGATACCTATGCTATCAGCTATTAAGGAAGATGGCGGCAGCAGCTTCGGCCGTGGCAAAGCTGCCAACCTTATGTGACGGATCAGTTTGCGCTTGGAGCTCTCAGACTCGGCTGATTTACAAGCTCGACCGTAAGATGGAAGCGATTTCTGAGAACCGTAGGCCATTTGCGGCTTTGGAACTCGCCAGCACGTTGGGATCGACCTTGGAGGAAGCTATAAGCACGGACCAGCGGAAAGTACCAGCAGAACTCAAGGCTGACGAGAAATAACTGTCTCCCTGCACGAAAAAACAACTGTGGCTTATCTGAATACGACTTCCCCGCTCGGCCTTCAAGCAGGCCAACTTATCAAATTGCTCCTGGGATGTGTCTTCTGATATCTCCTGGACCAGAGGACATATTTTAACGAAACTCTCAAAAAGTAAAAGTTAATCAATTATAGACATTCATGTAATCATTAGAGTTAACCTCATTTAAATTGGTTAAGCAGCCTTAGCTAATGCAAAACTGGCTATGATTCGGCCAGTTTTACAGATATTGAGCTAATATTTGGTGTGGTAGTATCTGAGAGTCATCCTCAACACTTCAACTTCACTTTCACTTCAACTAACATTGTGCATCATGTCCTATACAAGGATTGACTGTAAGGCTACAACTCTGGTCCGTATTATCACAAGATGATTTCAGTTTGACTCTGGCATGACCCACAGCAGGTAATCCCTTGAAGGTATGTTAAGCCTTCAATAATGTTTTCACTGTGCTAACAACAACCAAGAGAAGGCTGGAATTTGTCTCATGTAACAGTTCTGTTACAGAGACAAAGATCTAAAGTGGATCTTGTGGGGGCTCTAGATATCCTCCACCAGAAAACTTTGAATAAAGTAGATGCTGTTCCCTGTATTCTGGTGTATTTTAACGGGTTGCTGAACATCTATGTTTGCCTACATAAGTAAACACCTGGTTCAATACCTGCTTTAGAGACGCCTCATTCAACTAGTCCATTTATGCATCATCCTGATTTTAAACTCACTCCTTTGGCTAAGATAATGAAATTAATGTGACACAATTTATCACAATGGCTTTAGGGGGGCACTTGACTTTTATTTTAGATTTAGTTTTATTTGTAACACAACATGCCACTGTGCAAAGCAATGGTGACACTGAACTGCATGTTTAAAAATAAGAAAATCAATTTTACCCAATTAACGGATGCAAATTTGAAAACCACCAACAGTGAATGATCTGGCATCGTGCAGCCTTCACAACACAAAATTACACTGTGCCAAGCGATAGTGGCACCAAAAAACAAAACAAAAAAACACTTTAGTCAGTTTTGTCAACCTGCATATAATTATTAAAACAAATAATTTACAGGTTCCTTCCTACCTTGGTGCCACCACTTCACAATCCACTTGGAATAACAGCCATCTCCTTCAAGGTATTCTCTATAACACCGTCAGCTGGACTTTTCAAATCATAGGGCAAAGACAAAACGAAGTTCTTACTGCTCAGATTAGACAAAGCTTCCAAAAATGTGCTGCCTTCTGTCATTTACAGACACAAAAGACTGGCAAATCTCCTTCATGTCCACCTGATCAAGTCTATCACGGTGTACGTAGCAGACAGCTACATTGTTTAAACGTTGTTGTTTCATGGAGGAGTGCAGCCATGTCTTAAGCCTTCTTGAAGCACTAAAACTTCTTTCAGCCTCAGCTGAAGAGCACGGCACAACAAGAAGTAGCCTGACCAACAGCTCTCCTCGTGTGAATAGAGCACACTCGGTTTCTCTCATGCATCCTAACCACCCAACCCCCCACCCCGATCAACAATTGCTGGCACTAATGTAGCACTAAGCTAGCATGCAACACAGATGTGTCTCCCCATCCTCCTCCTACCCCGTTGACACCCTCCCCCCGCCCACGAAAAAAAAAGAAATGAGCGCCCTACCAAGGCAAGTGACCTCGGCCTAACGCTGCATGCGATGTGGTGAGTTGTAGTTACGTGCCCTTAAACCCTTAAACCAAATGTTGTCAGCTAACCTATCTAACGTGTCCAAAGCTATGGCATTATTATTGGGCTTTCCTAAAGTGTGTGAAGACGTCTTATGGTTTCTAAACATGTGACTTCACAAAAAGAAATGAAAAATTTAAGAAATTCTCTTGAATATTCATAATTTGAAAGAATATAAATAAGTATGGGCTACCTAACAAACTTAACCAGTAAAGCTTTTGTCTGATTTAATGTCAGACAGTGGAGAAAAACATGGTGAAGGTTGCGTTCTTTTGTTAAATGTTGCTAACTTTTCCTCCATGAACTTGCTCACATGATTGAGGATTAAAATGCCTGACATTGGGATGAAGTGTTAAAACTGATTTCATGTTCAGCCATTGGCAGAATGCCATACTATTTGCAAAACATCTGAAAAAGAAGTGGACATGTTTTCACAAAAGTCTCAAAAGCATTGTTAGCTGGACATCTGCAACTGATTAACGTTAGCAGGCAGCCTGATTCAAGATGGCCACCCCAGCTAATCATCTTTAGCCTGAAACTGAGCTGAAATTTGGTGAAGCTTCTGATTCGCAACATATACTCCAAGCGCTAACGGATCACACGATCACTGCATTGTGCACCATGTTATTTTCAACGTTTGACCAAAATGGCTACAACTCCATCATCTTTAATCCTGAGATATTTTTCAGACTCTGGTGTGAGTGGATGAAATGCATTCCTTGAAGAATGCAAGGCATTTATTGTCCTACAATTGAATGTACATGGACATTTGTAAAAATAGGTCAGGGGGGGCCAACAGTGCCCGTGGAACAATTAGATTAGTTGTTTCTCAGAAGAGTAATCTTGAAGGGAATCCCATGACTTGTGTCCCTGCGTGGCTGCAGGAGGTCGGCTGAGCCGGCTGGTCAGGACGAAAGCTGTGCACGCTAATGATGTTGGTGCCTGAAGAACAAAGTTGGTCAATTTCAACCTTCTGCTTCCACCCCCCCAAATATGTGTTGGCTTTGGGATATTTATTTAACCTCGACATGTAACATTTTACTAAAATACATGTAAATTACATTCTGCTTGAATGGCTAAGGTAATCACGATGATATGAATATTTAAAAGTATTTCCTTGTAGTTTCATAAAAACCCAGTCAATTGTAACTTCTGTCCTAAATCGGTGCACGTTTTCTCACGTGACTGACTGTTGGCCTTGTTCGCTGGCTGTTGACTTCTACCATGAGGTCACACGCTGTTCTTCCAACAAGCAGCAACTGGTTGTTCTATGAATACAAATAATTGCTATTTAAGTTTTTAATCAACAATGCGACGTGTCGCTGGTTTCATTTATTCTGGGACCAGGTGATGGTGGGATAGTTTCAAAACTGCTGTTCCTGCCAGTAAGCGTCCTAACAGAAAACAGGATTTCTTATGTTGATTTGTTTTTAATGCGTCTTTGTTGTGTATCTTCTGTTTTCCACTGACCAACAGAGACGGTTGCGTCATCTTCGGAGCATCGCTGCCAGGAACATCGTGAACAGGAATGGTTCTCCTCTGTTAGACACTTACTTCACCCTCCACCTCTGTGTAGGAGACCGCATTTCTAGAGGTCAGTGTTGACACGGTTCGCTCAGTCTCCGTTTCATCGAGACGCTTTCTGATAACTTTGAGTGTTTTGGTACTTGGACACATTCTGATCAGCTTCAGCAGCGTCTTCACGAGGTCTTTAGCTTTTGTTTTGTTGGTGATACGTTTCTCATTAAAACACACTCATGTCAAGAGCACAGAATCTGTCTCCTTCCTGAGCAGCACGATGACAGGACGTTCTTACAGTCTTGGTATTTGCGTATAATTGTTTGAACGTGACGCCTTCAGTCTTCTGGAAATTGTCCCCAAGAGTTGTGAATGTCGACAAAAGTCTTCCTGATGCTACTCCTACTGCTTTCTCTGGGTTTTCCTATGATTTGAAACAGAAAAGCAGAGTCCTCGATGTGCGCCTCAATAACTTGAACGTTGTCAACTAGCCTATCCAAAGCCATGACATCATCAGCTGAGCTTTTCTACATTAATTAGACGTAATGATCTTAGTGTATGTAAACTTGTGACCTTGAAGAAAGTAGCACAAAAATGTCTCTAACTTTTCACGTGTTTATCAAATGGAAATAGTTTGGGCAACTCTAACTGACCTAAAACAGGATGTGAGTGAGAAAAAAGGGTTCTGTCTTTTTATACAGCGTATGTAAACATCTGCTTTCATCTGTACATTTAGAACTAAAAACCACATCATCGATAAGACAATAAATTATTTCAGACAAGAACATCTTTTTCGTTTGGCATTTTTTCCCGTTGACTTCATGTTCTTCACCTTGTTTTATCCATTTTGATCTTTTTCTTCTTCTAGATTTTTACAAGAGTGAAGTCATTCGGGACTCACTGGTGAGTATCGTTGAACAAACCAGAGTTTGCCATTTTGCCTGTCAGGTGTAAGATGTAGTTTCCTACAGTTTGATGATGCGCCGTTTTATTTTAGTCATCTTGTGTTGGACGTCATGAACAGGCTAACAAGTTTTCTGTTTTTAAATAAAGACATGTGCTTCCTGTTTGAACATTGTACACTCAGCTACGATTGAAGATTAGTTTTAGTTACAGTAATGTTTGTTCAAATGTATTTTCCTGAGCAGAAGTTTTGGCTGGCCTTGATGAGAATTCATTCTGATTCACACTATATATGCTTTTGTTGCACAACTTTCCTTTGTGGCCTACAAGTAGTAAGTAGGCCTGTCACGATAACAAATTTTGCTGGGCGATTAATTGTCTGAAAATTATTGCGATAAACGATAACATTGTTTGAAGTTTGACAATAATTAGTAATTATTGTCAAATTTAAGAAGAAATGTTTAACTTGTGTTGTGTGTAGTACTTTTGTGACCACCGGCTGGCAGTATAAGACTGTTTAAACCGAAGGATGGATAGTGAGGGAGCGAGCAGCGTGTCTCTTTAAGAAAAATGGGAGGGAGGCCCCTGGACGTGACATGGGCTGTCTCTCTTTGGTTCTCAAAGTGGCTGACGCTCGGTGTGGTTTGAGCTCTTTAGCATTTTTCACACAGTTTTTAATAAAAATCAGTAAACAAGTTCTCAGCTTCTTTTTGCAGAGAAAAACAACTTTTTACACAAAGGCACGAGTTTGAACCGTGAATTTTGGAGCTTCGACAAGACGGAGGTTTTTTCCCCCCGAGGTCGGCTTGTTAGCTTAGCTCGTAGCTTAGCTTCTCAGCTTAGCTGCTTTTAACGATCCAAAAATGTGATTTTGGACGATTAAAACAGATTTTAAAGAGAAAAGAGAACGGGAGGGGGTCAGTGAAGAGCACCAGAGTTGAGTCTTTCGTCGTCCAGTGTCTTCAGTAGAGACATGAAGAAACGATAAAGCTGATAAATGAGAGCGAGGTCGATAATTTTCATTTAGCATGCGATTAATTGATTCATTGTTTATCGCGACAGGCCTAGTAGTAAGATCAGCACATCATCTCTGACTGATCTCCCATTCATTTACTGGAGCAGCCCAGGACAGCCTGCCATCACTGGTGGGCTTGTTGTCATGAGCTGACCTCAGCTGCTCTCAGCACTTCATTATTCCCTCCTTCTTGAACTCTGGAACTGAAGGAGTAACAGTCATTCATGTTTCTGCCCAACCTCTTGATTTTAGCATCCTTGTGGACATTTGTTTCATAGCGCTCAGCCTCTCTCCTGTCATTGTTCATTTAGGAAACAGTTTCCTGTTAGTCTTCCTGTTTCCACTCTGCTATGCCCATTTTTATCTGCCATTGACACCGGAGTTATTTTCTTCTCCTTCCCACCAATCTGCAGGATTTTCTGCCTCTCCTTTGGACAGTCCTTTTTTCTCCTGTCCTTGAAAATGGACCAGAGTGCTGGGAATAGTTCTGTCTGATGGGAGGAAGTCCTGTGTGTGATACGATAGATCCCAGTGCTACAATGTTGACTCAGCAGTCATGCTGGGATTCTGGAAGTTCAGGGACAAGGCCAGATCAACGTTTGGGTCCAACGTAGAAAAAACCGATTGCATTACTTTGAGTTGTGCAATGATCACATTATGATCTTAATAGAGCTAACTCAACTTTTAGGCTTACACTTTTATTAATGTATTTCTCATATGCACGTGTGTTTGTACAGTTTTGATAAAAGTAAGTCATTTTATATTATACAGCTAAAATCCTGAATAGTGTGGTGTGAATTTGTATTCAAGCCTCTTTCTCTCACTTGTCTAAATAAAATCTGTAGCAATCAGTTGTTTTTAGAAGTCGCCTAATTAGTCATGAGTCCACTAAGCATTAAAGTATATATTAGCTGTATTTATACTGCCATATAAGTATCTCGGTATAAATACATCTGTTCCACGAGGGCTTCAGAGGTGTGCTATTGAATGTTTTTGACGTAACGGCATCATGAAGAACAAGGAATACACTAGACCGGTGATGGATGAAGATGTTGAGAAGTTTAAAGCAGGTGTAGGTCATAGAACATCATCCCGAGCTTTGAACATGTCACAGCTCCGTTCAGTCCATCAGCTGAAAATGGAAAGTTCAGCACCTGCAAACCTGCGAAGCCACGACAAGCAACTGACTGGCAGGGTGAGGGGAGTGTTAGCTGGTAATGACTGGGAGAAAAGAACCTCAAAAGACTTGCAATGGGAAGTGCAGCCAAAGGAGGTTTTACAAAGTATTGACTCGGGCGCAGAATACAAATGCACGCCACACTTTCCAGATTATTTGTAAAACCTTTTGAAAGCCATGGACGGTATCATTTCCCTTTCACTTTTCCATTTTTGTGCTTGTAAAATTACAAAATATAAAACATTAAGAGGCATAAATACTGTTGCAAGGCACTTCATTAATTTAAAATATCAATTTTAACTGGTCGTTTGACTTTTGAACTCTAGATTATCCTGAAACAAAACCAACCAGCTGTTTTCAATCTAATCTGACCCGCTCCCATTTAACGATGGTTCATTCGTTCCTGCTCTGCCTCGGTTCGTGCCCGTCCTCACGCGTTTGTTCTTTGTGCAGAACCCAACGTGGCGGAGCCTGGATTTTGGCGTTCTCCCAGACCTTCTGGACACTTCAGTGTCTTGTTTCGTGGTGAGGATCTGGGGCGGACAGAAGGAACGGTACCAGTTCCTGATTGAATGGAAGGTCAACTTGGACGGGCTCAGATACACGGGACAGCAGGTCAGCAGCCGTTCAAACACGAGCGTTTCAGCAGCATGATCTCAAGACTGCTTAAACCTGTTGTACGTGCACTAAAACATGCACAGGATAGGGCAATGAATACAAAGGAAGGTACCTTGACGAGGTCACGGGTAGAGGACCAAACGTTCAATGTTTTCACACAAACACTGCAACTGTGAAGTGTAGCATTCTCTCTGCACACGTTACAGACGTGTCGAGAATATCATCGGTTTAACTGTGCAAGTGTAGCTGCACAGCTTCCAGACTGTTTACTGGTGGCACACTGATGAGTGCTAGTTTCTGCACGTGTCTGTTGGTATTATGAAACAAGGACATGATGGTTTGCTTTCTAAGACATTAAAAGCTTTATTTTAATATAAAGCTCAGTGATGAATTGAATGTATACGGAGAACTATCTTTAATCCATTAAACGGTACCCCCAAAATAACTAAATCTCTTGGGGAAAAGCAAACTCAAATTGAATTGAATTCTTGTTCTCTTTGGAAAACACTGAAAGCTCTATAAAGGGAACACCCTGAAAGTATAACTCAGCAGTCACAATGATTGTAACTATAATCTGTATCTAGCTATAGAAGATGGAACACACTAAAGTCAGACTTTTTTATTTGGCCTGGATTTATTTGTATTTCTTCATTTTGATGTCGCTGCATATGAATTGATGGAGGAAAATGTAACGAGGCTCTAGAATCATGTCTTAATGTCTGGTCACATCTGAAAACTGACTCTGTGGACATTTTTTTTCTGTGGGTATGTTCATGTGTTTCTCAAAGTGTCTCGAAACATCCAAACATTACAAGGCTGTAACTCGTGAATACTTCAACATGCTATTATCAGAGGGTTCAAGTGGAAGATGACAACTGGAGGAACCGTGTTTTATATCCAGTCACTGCCAGCACGCGTAAAATACAGTTAGTTATGAATACAAGACGCACAACGAAGCACACGTCTGTATGTAAAAGAATAGGTGTTCAGACCCCCTGATGCTCCGTGGATATAATAATAATAATAATAATGATAATAATGATAATGATAATAATAATGATAATGATGATAATAATGATAATGATGATAATAATGATGATGATAATAATTATAATAATGATAATAATAATGATAATAATCATAATGATAATAATGATAATAATAATAATGATAATGATAATAATAATGATAATGATGATAATAATAATGATAATGATAATAATCATAATTATAATGATGATGATAATACTGATAATGATGACGATAATAATAATGATAATAATAATAATGATAATAATAATAATGATAATAATAATAATGATAATAATAATGATAATGATAATAATTATAATAATAATAATGATAATTACAATAATAATAATAATAATGATAATAATTATAATAATAATAATGATAATAATAATGATAATGATCATAATGATAATAATAATGATGATGATAATGATAATAATAATAACGATAATGATTATGATAATAATAACGATAATGATAATAATGATGATAATAATAATGATACTAATGATATTAATAATAACAATGATGATAATAATAATAATAAGAACGATAATGATAATAACAATAACGATAATGATGATAATAATAATGATAACGATAATGATGATAATAATAATGATAACGATAATGATAATAATAATAATGATAACAATAATGATAACGATAATGATAATGATAATAACGATAATGATAATAATAATGATAATAACGATAATGATAATGATAATAATAATAATAATGATAATGACAATGATAATAACAATAACGATAATGATAATAATAATGATCACAATAATGATAACGATAATGATGATAATAATAATACATTTTATTTGAAGGGGCCTTTCAAATCACTCAAGATGTCCGAACAAGAAATACAAGATAAAAACAATAAAAGGCAGGTATCAATAAAGTCAAAACACAATTAATAGTAGAATACTTGGTGACATTAAAAAGAATAAGCAAGTTTGAAAAAGCGAGTTTTAGGGTTAGATGTAAATGAGGGCAGTGAATCAGAATTATAGATGTGGTGTGAAAGAGCGTTCCAGAGGCGAGGGGCTTTGCAGGAGAAGGCTCCGGAGCCCCTGGTTGTCCTGTGGGCAGGAGGTGTAACAAGACAGATGAATAAGGAGGAGCGACGACTTCGGGCAGGTGTGTAATAACAAAGAAGATCAGTGAGGTACAGAGGTGTCAAGTTATGAAGAGCTTTGACAGTGAGGAGGAGAACCTTGACGTTGATGCCATATTTTATGAGTAACCAGTGAAGATGTTTAAGGACAGGGGTGATGTGTTCCTTCGACGTAGTTCTGGTGATGATCCGAGCAGCTGATTTGAACAAGTTGAAGTTTATGGATGATTTTAAGAGGAAGATCTGAGAGGAGGGAGTTCCAGTAATCTAACCGAGATGTGACTAGACCATTGATGAGGATGGTTGTGCTGTTGGGAGTAAGAAATGAATGGAGACGGTTGATGTTTTGAAGATGAAAATATGCAGACTGACTATTGGCTCTAGAGAGACCATAGACTGACCCAGTTGGTCAGAAGAGGTGCTGGTCCTGTCATTTCAACACGGTATAGTTCAATTTGAAAACACTTGTAAAATTGAGGCTGCGCATTAGAAGGTACCAGATTTCTGAGAAGTACACTCATAAGATAAAGAAAGTCCACCCACTTTCAAATGTGGGATTTCACGTAGGGCAGCACGGTGGCACAACTGGTAGAGCTGCTGCCTCTCAGCGAGAAGGTTGCTGGTTCAAATCCCGGTCCAGGGGCCTTCCTGGGTGGAGTTTGCATGTTCTCTCCGTGCATGCATGGGTTTTCTCCATGTACTCCAGTTTCCTCCCACAGACCAAAAACATGCATGTTAGGCTGATTGGTAACTCTAAATTGTCCCTAGGTGAGTGAGAGAGAATGGTTGTTTGTCTCGTTTGTCTCTATGTGTCCCTGTGATGGACTGGAGACCTGTCCAGGGTGTCCCCCGCCCCTCACACAGTGATTGCTGGACATGGGCACCAGTGACCCCCGTGACCCAAAATGGAAGAAGTGGGTAAAGATAATGGATGGATGGATGGATGGATGGTTTTCACCAAACATGGCGCTGTGCATCATGGGTAAACATCTGTACTTTGGTCTCACCTGTGTGACGGACATGAGTTCAGAAGTCTTGGTTCATTCAGATGGACCCTTACAGACCCAAGTCGTGCTGCCATCTTGTTTTTAGAGAGGATAGGCTTTCTGCTGCAGCCCTTCCAAACAAGCCATACTTGTTGCCTCTTTTTCTAATTCTCCTGTCATGACCTTTAACATTTAATCTGTGGACTGAGGCCTGTATAGTCTGAGATGGAGCTCTTGGGTGTTTTTGCCATGATTTACATTTAATGGGTTTTTTCTTTGACCTGCTGTGAGCCAGATGGAGACGGCTAACGGGCCAGATGTGGCCCGCGGACCATAAGATGCCCATGTGTGCCCAACAGAGTCATAAATCTATCCCTGTGCTCCTTTCTTATTTTACACAGCAGCAAGTTTTATTTTTTGAAGATGCTGAAGTGGATTTAGTAAAGTGTAAAAACCAACACTCGGTGCAGTAGTGTCACTTTCAAAATGCATTAAGACGTGTAAATGTGAAAACAGATTGTTTTAACTCTGTACATTCCACCAAACATTTTAAATGAGCAGCGCTTCAGTGAATGTTTCTTTTTTTTTAACTAGATTTTCTTTAAGCATAGAGTGAACTTTGATTCACTGGTTTGTCTAAATTGAGCATAAACAGTCAACTCAAGTTTTGATGTTAAAAAAATCTGAATGCTGCAAGTCCGTTGAACTTTGTGTTCTGTGTTTTAACTACCGAAACATTCAATGAGACGGCAGTGAAACCTCACGAACAGATAACTCTGTCTCCTGCACATCCAGATGTTGCCTCGACTTTGTTCTTTAGCTGTACGTTCAGTCTTCTCCCCTCGTCTCTTTGTCACAGATTCGATCCAGAAGTCCAAATGAGATCATATTTGGACTGAATGATGGCTACTATGCAGCTGATTTTGATCTCAAGGTAAAACCTTTGCCTGACGTTTCAAGCTTTTTGCACAATAATAACACACTCAGTCCTGACGGCATTAGTTTTATCCAAACCCGCCCTGGCTGCTGTTTGAAACAACGTGTGGCTGTTTCAGGATCAGTCGGAGCGGAAGGGTTATACTCAGCTTCAGGTTGACCAGAGTTCAGTCAAGAACTCCTACAGTGTCTTCTCCTTGCTCAGGTAAGAGTCGTGCCATTTTACAGCGCTGTCTTTAATGAAGTTCACTCTAACACAAACATTCTGTTACATGCAACGTATCACAGGAAATGATTGTTTTTTCTGATTAAAGCAAACTGATTGTTTAAGTCCTGAGGTAAAACAGTCAAAGATGAATCTGTGAACACTTCTTCCAGTTTAGACTAAATACGGAGGAATATTTTGCCCTCGTCTTCTCACTGGTAATGATTCTACAGTGTGTGCATGCAGGCATCATCATATCAGAACTATTAAGGGAGACTGGAAAACCACAGCTTGTTAATATTTATCAGTATTTTAGAAGATAAATATTAAGCAGAAAAACCCCCAGGGATGAGACAGTCAACCTGATTGTAAGATGGAGATGTTTAAAGTAAACCTGGTAAATAAAATGCTTTAGTAGTTTTTTAATAGCCTGTTCAGGACCAAGGGCTGGACGTTAGCTGGAAGTCTTGTATACATCTCAGTAGTTGCATGGTTTCATTGTTGTCGTATTGTTCAGAGCTCTGCAACCTTTACAGCCAAAATGTCCATTTCTGCCTCTTCTTTCACTAAATAAACTTTGTTGCAAAATGTGTTTAAAGGTCAAAATAAAGAGTGCAATTCATTGTGTGTTCTCAACATGCTGCAACATAGAAGAATGTGGTTTAAATTCTGAACTTAAAGCTCTGTAATAAACTCGTGGTGATTATCTGCATTCTTCAAGACAAACGTAAATACCAAACTCTTATAAAAGGAGGATGGACGTTTTTATTTTGTTTTGAAGACTGAACTATGCAGGTCTGCAGCATTTCTTTTATTCTGTGGATAAATCTAAATGTTGGTATTCCGTCCCTCCTTCCTTCCTTCCTTTCTCTCTTTCTACTCACTTCTTCCTTTTCGAGTCGCGGGGGTCACTGGTGTCCATGTCCAGCAGTCACTGTGCGAGAGGCAGGGGACACCCTGGACATGTCTCCAGTCCATCACAGGGACACCTGGAGACAAACAACCATTCACTCTCTCACTCTCACCTAGACACAATTTAGAGAATCAGTCTAACATGCATGTTTTTGGTCTGTGGGAGGAAACTGGAGTACCTGGAGAAAACCCACGCATGCACAGAGAGAACATGCAAACTCTACTCGGAAAGGCCCCCTGGCCGGGATTTGAACCGGCAACCTTCTCGCTGAAAAGCAACAGCTCTATGATTAAAAACTATAAAAACGGACAGTAAATTTTGAAATCTCTGATTCTTAAAGTTTTCAGAACGATTTGACATATTTCTGCAGATTTCCTTATCGTGATGGCTTGTCATGTAGTAAGCGTGTGTCATGTGTGATAAACTGCATTTTGGATTCCTTCAGCATTTTACGTCCTGCGTGTCACCAAACGGCTGGACGTTGGTTTAATCAAGTTCCTACAAACAACCTAGACTCTAGACTACTTGTGTCAAACTTAAGGCCCGGGGGCCAAATGTGGCCCTTGTTGACATCTTATCTGGCCCCCAAGAAGATGTGTTAAATGTAAAATACTTTTATCACTTTATTTTATTATTTTTTCAATAATCTTTGATTATGATGTCAAAAGTGCAGCAGGGAACGTGAAATGAGACCAATCAAACTCTTTAGTTCCTTCACCGTTTTCTTTCTCGGCTCACTTTCCAGAAGGACGTCAGTGCCGTAGTATTTATGAACATAATCTGAAAATGCCGCTCCGGTGCACTTGCAGATGAGGCAACGCACTTCGAATATGACATCATGAATAAAAAAGTCCTCCCCCCATTCTGTATGCAAATGGTAATTTAGTTGCTTCTTACTTGGTCCAGGTCTCCAACTCATTTTGCACATTTTCTTGAGTTTAGATTAGAAGAAATAAACTGGGGGCTATTACGAGTCAACTCGTTGGTTTTTAGCGCGGTTGAACGCGTCAGAAAAGATCCGCTCTCTGATTGGCTAACCCGTATGTCAATCAAGTGATTATTTGCGTAGTGAGGATGGATTGATCGGCTGACGTCTATTAAAAACAAAATATTAAAAGAAATTTTTAAAAAGTCTGACGTCTATTTTGCCGTGCGATCTACTGGTATTACCTTCGTGCTCGACCAGTAGATCGTCACCCCTGGCCTAGAGCAGTGATGAGTCTTTTTTTTTAGTATTGTTGCGTTTCAAAAGTTTTTTTTTTCAAGTATTGCAGAAAATTTTGAAGGAAAACTGCTTAAACTTGCCACCTCTGTTGGGGTTTGAATATAAATATCCATTTTCATATTATTTTTCTCAAAGCCACAAAAAAACCGCTGGAGAGGGACCAGAGAGCCTCATGTTGCTCCAGGGCTGCAGGTTGTAGGTCTCCGATAAAAAGTCTTTGTTGAAAAACGTCTGAAAAGTATATTTAAACTGTTGCAGCGTCACTGTGATTTTCATCTAAAATTACCGACTGATGGTTTATACATACATCGACTGCTGGTTTAAGCAACTTTTAGAATTATTTTTATTTAAGCCTTTAGATTCTCATTCATGTTTGACTTACACTCGTCATCCAGCAGATGGCGCCATATGAAAGGTAATGTAAAAATGTTTTCAGGAACACTTGAACCTCTGACTGAATGAGAGCTCTCCATGAGCTGTCTGCACATGTTCCTAACACAAAGTATGTGAACAGTGCTACCCTGATGAGTAAGAAACAAACGTTAACTGAAGACAAAAGACCGACCTACCACGCAACAAGAAGGCGACTCAGACGGGTCGACGAAAGGCGATACTGTTGACAAACACAGGGTTGTTGTTCTGTATCTATATTTAAACGTGGCAGAATGTAAACACTACTTTCAGGATCCCCAGGACTCCCCCCAAGGGAAACCCTCTGTTAAATGAGTCCTGATCACACACCAACATAATCACTCCCAGTTTTGTCCTAAATGCATATGTGGAAGGTTTTATTTAGAAACTTCGAAAATACAATTTGCATCCTGTCATTAGGAACACCGTTAAAACTTCCACAAACATTTTCCCCTCTTTGGGGACGAGATATGCGTCATGGGACTTTGCAGAATCAAGGAGAAGGAATAATGCCAAAGCCTGCAGAGCCTTTAATAGCGCTCCCCCCATTCCTGAAATGGTCATGGTTTATGTTTATTTGGGAGGAGAGCGCTGCCTCCATAGGCAGCTTGTGGAAGAAATAGTGCAGTTGAAGTTTAATGACCTCTGCTCTTACGTTTTCTATTATTGCAGCTTTCCCTCACATCCTCTTCACCCTCCCCATGCCCTGTGGGACTCTGAGGAAGTGAACACACTCGTACTGAGCCCCCTCTTCTCTTGCGCCGCTCGGCCTGCAGCTCCTCACCCCTGTCACAGTTCGTACCGATATATGCAGACCTTTTTGTTATGTACTGCAGATATTGATTAGATATTGTACACTGCAGCTGGGTTCGAACTGGACCCCACCCTCAAAGATATACAGTACAATGGATCTGTGGTGCGCTTTATTCTCCAAAGTGAAGCTTTTTGCTTATCAAACAATTCATACAGAACTTTAAACTTTTACATTACCACTTTCATTGAACCATTTATTGAATTGGATTCAGGATTAGATATAAATCTGAAAGAAAATAAGTTTATTTAGGGTTTCGGTTGGGTCATAGTATTCTAATAGTAACTAAAGTGCATCCAGAAAGTATCCACAGCACTTCACATTTTCCACATTTTGCATATGTTACAGCCTTATTCCAAATTGTATTAATCTCTTTCTTAAAAATTCTACACACAATAAATACCCCATTATGACAATGTGAAAAAATATATATGTTTTGAGATTGTTGCTGATTTTATTAAAAATAAAAAAACAAGAAATCATATTAACGTAATTATTCACAGCCTTTGCTTCATACTTTGTTGATCCACCTTAAGCAGCAGTTGCAGCCTCCGGTCTGTTTGAAGATGATGCTTCAAGCTGAGCACACCTGTCTTTAGACGGTTTGTCCCATTCTTCTTTGCAGAACTTCTCAAGCTCCATCAGGTTGGTTGGAGACATCTGTGCTTCCATTTTCTGACATCTCCAGAGATGTTCAATCTGATTCAAGTCTGGACTCTGGCTTGGCCACTCCAGGACCTTCACAGAGCGGTCCTGAAGCCCCTCCTTTGAGATCTTGGCCATGTGAAGCCCCTCCTTTGA